CTTCCCAGGTCCTCCTTCTTGCCCTTTTTGAGGTTTCTGGATTGTTCCCCAGTGGGATGTGATGGTGTGACTCTCCATTTCAGACCCGACCCCCCTGAGCCCTTCAGTTTAACACCCGCCTCACCATGCTGGCCAGCCTGCTACCAAAGTACCCTTACCTCTTCCAGACAGGTGAACTCCATCGCTCCCTAACAGGTTGTAATCAAAGAACCTCCCATGATCATAAAAGCCAAAACCCTCACCAGACACACAGCCAGGAGTTCACATGTAGTACATGTTTGCTTCAGTCTGGCCCCTTTCCTCTGGCTGGCAACATGGAAAAGAAGATGACTTGGGCACCAATGTTTTTCACTTGTGCCCCCAGGACTTTCTAGTCTTGCTTTATTCTGCCCAGGTTACGGTTTGCGGTGTCATTCATCCCCACATGGTAGAGTGACAGGGGATAGCAGTCCGTTTTCTTGACAAGCTGGGGCACCCTCTCAGCAGTGTCACGAACCTTTGCTCCTGGAAGGCAGCATACCTCTCGTGATTCTCTGAGTGACTGTTGTTGCATGCCTTGGGTTTTTTTCCCCTTTCCTTTCCTTGTTAAAATGTTCCTATCTCAAGGCACAACTTTTCTTACCTTCTCCCCCAGTACTGGAATTGTTTACAGACTGGATTACAGGCTCAGGAACTGGTTGGGAGAAATGGCTCAGTCTTTGCTTCTGAGTTGTTCCCTCATCGACTCAACCCACTTCTCTGCTACCAACCCTCTTGACCACTCCTGCTCTGCATTCTAATCTATGGTTAGCAGTACCAGTTTTCTCACCTGAGATTCATCTATTCCTCTGCTTCAACAGGAAAATTTTACCTCTTTAATGGAGCATTAGAAAACCATTTTTCTATTGCATGAGAAAAAATAAACTTCTCTATGACCCTTTCACGAATTTTTATTCTATATAGCAGAATTAAGGATAAAGAGCAGGAACGGGGAGGCAGAAGTTAATACTCTAAAAGATAAGTCTCTTGTAGGAAGTCCATAGCACTGTACTAGTTTTCTTTTAAATCACAACAAATTTTAAAACGATGTTCAGGACACTGGGAAGCAACATCAAGAGTGACATTTCCCAGCTGAACAGCAGATGAGACCCTGAACTGAACAGTGTGCTGCTCTAAGTATACTTATGAAAGTTGGAGACTACTCTAGAAGACTACTACTATTCAAAAGAAAAATAAGATGCACAAGGTTTGCCTAGAATATATCCTTTATTATTTTCAGTCAGTGTAAATTTTAATACATGATTGAATTTCTACATAATTTTCTTTGTTTAGATCATCCTGGTATTTTCCAACAATGCAGTCAGCTGCACCTTTATTATGTACAGTCAGTACTTATGAAATATTGCATATGCCTCTATTAACTTAGAAAAATACCATGCAAGGGAAATTGTTACTATGAAACTGATAAAAAAATAGGTAAAACAGTCAATCCCCTTTTAGTGTGTTATGGCTTTGCACCAAGTATCAGATGTCAAAACAAACAGTTTAAGATGCTTCTTGTTAAAGGCACTTACTGTTCTTCATATACACTTTCAAATTTAGTTCTATTGCATTAAGAAGTGTATCTCTGGAATCATACTTTCATAACACAGCAGAACAGTCCAAAAAGGCAGCATTAATAAAAGGGAAAAAAGGGTTTTTATGTTAAAAACAAAAATACCAAGAATTAACACAAACTTTCAGGATTTGGTCCTTATAAAACAGGCAACAGCATTCAGGCAATAGTGATTTCTTTTCTTAGATGCTAACAAAGTAATATCCCCAAAAAGGAACTCTTACAGTTCCAGTGTATAGATATGTCTAAGTTGAGTAGCGCACCCTCTAACACCACCCCCAATAAAAATATAGCTTTTCAAGACTAACTACTGCTCCACTTTGGCTGTGAAGGAAGAAACCTCAAAAAAGCATTATAGATGTACATACTAGCAAGCCTACAATTCTGTGTCTCTGTATCTGGATGGCTGTCCATAATACCCCTTCTTAGAATGGTCCAATAGCTGCCGACGGTACTCCTCCTCCTCCTCTGCATCACTGCCATAACTGCCACGGTTCTCTAGGTAAGGTCTGACAGGAGGCTTCTGGGGCTCTGGAGGTCTGGAGCTAACACAGCAAGGCAAGGAAAGAGAGAGAGAGATAATGTTTACTTCCGTTCTGAAAAGCTGAAAAATAAGTATACTTAGTGTTGGCTTTATGGCCAGGTACAACCTAGAGAGGCAGGTGGAGCAAATGAAGCCCCGTCTAGCCCGTAAACAATTGCATGGCCATGGTAAGCCTCATCCGGAAAGGCATCTTATTTCCATCAAGCTGGAGCCTGATGTTCAGATTTGATCTACTCAACCTACCTGGAAGAATGCCAGATTTAAAGTTATTAAACACCCCCATCCAAACACACACATCAAGAGCTTAACAGCAATTTATTCCCTGAGCAGAGAGGTTTTCAGCCATTGCTGCTACCCCAACTGACACTTTCCTGAATTATTTTTGCACCAGATTCTTTCTATGCCCACTTCTTTCGCATCCCCAGTTTCCTGTCTCAAGGTCTGAAGACTTCTTATGTGATATTTCGTAAACTGATAGCCTTCTCTCCTCACTCAAGGCTCTCACTAGGGTTCTTATCCTTAAAAGTGGGCAGAAATAACCCACGTTTTCTTTTTATGCACTGTAGTGCCACCCATTTATTGCAACACTAAGCAAATATATAGAAACAAAATCTGCCAAGGAAGGGCCTTTCAAAAGCCATGATTTTTGCAGTCCCACACAGTACAAAAACAAGGTGTTATCCTCCTTCCATAGTGCCCTAGTGCTTAAACTCTCCCTCTTGGCCCATCATTAACATTCCTGTAAAAAGGCAACAGCACTGATTTCTGTATGTAAGCAAACACTCTGCACATGTGGTTAAAAATTACTTCTCAGTACTTCTAAAAAGCTTCTAAGGCTATATGAAAAAGTATGTGTTTCTAAACCCACCAAGAAAACCTGAAAATAATGACTTCATGTTTTCCATTTCTGCATTTTAGATTACATAGTATGGCAGCAAAGGATTTAATTCATTAGAAAAAAAAGTCATGGAACTCCTAGAGCGTGTCTAGCAAAGGGTGACTAAAGATGATTAAAGGACTGGAGCATCTTTCACATGAGGAAGGGCTGACAGAGCTGGGCCTGTTCAGCCTGGAGAAAAGATGACTCAGAGGGGATCTGATTAATGTTTATAAATATGTAAAGGGAGAGTGTCTAGATGACGGGGGCAGGCTCTTCTTATTGGCACCGAAGAATAGGACGAGAGTCAATGGGCATAAACTGCAGCATAGGAAGTTCCACCTGAACATAAGGAAGAACTTCTTTACTGTGAGGGTGACTGAGCACTGGAAGAAGCTGCCCAGAGAGGTTGTGGAGTCTCCTTCCCTGGAGATATTGAAAAACTGTCTGGACAGAATCCTGGTTCATGTGCTCTAGGCGTCCCTACTTGAGCAGAGTGGTTGGACTAGATGACCTTCAGAGGTCCCTTCCAACCTCAACCATTCTGTGATTCTATTGGCTATTACTCAGAAGCATGAAAAATTTTGAAGAACACAAAACAAAATCCATCATACAGTGTGTTAGCTCTTGCACAGACGACTCTATGCTCAAGTCATAGAAAAGTAGTGTGTGGGGTAAGATGACACAATGGTCAACCAGTCCAGAACTCACTGAATTTTAGTGAAAGACTCCTACTTTTATGAGACTTGATGGGTGACCTCAGGCAAAGTTTAATCCTCAGTTTCCCTACCCACACAATAGATCTGTAACTGAATAACCATTTAAGTAATTAAGTGTTATTAAGTAATTAAAACAGCATTTATTTGTTAGGATACACTAACAGTCATCAAGTATCTCACACAGGCAGAATAGACATCAAAGGACATGAATGCAGGAAAGCTTCTAAGCAATACTGACTGGGTCAAAAAACTGCCTCTGCAAATATTTCAGCAAAAGAAATATTTGTTTCCTCCTAGGGAACTCAAATACTATGAATGAACTAAACAAAAAAAAGGATTCTGAAAAAAACAAGAAGAGTTCACTGAAATTTTGCCCCACTTTTACAGTAATCTTTGAGGCACTACAACAAAGCAGTATACCAAGGCTGGATTACTTGTACAAATAAAAACTGGTAAAATGAGTTTTCCTCCGGCTGCTGAAGAAAACAATACAGAATGCTTTAAACTGGATACTCCTTACCTCATGGGCTGGGGCCAGTTCTGTTCTGACTTCTGTGTTTTGACAGGGACAGCATAAATATCTGGGTGCTTCTGGGCTATTTCAAGCTTTAAAAGAAAGTAGGAGAAAATAACTGTTCTTTTTAAGTTTATCCTTTAGGGATCCTAGACTGTAGATCTACAGCTACATCTGAAACAATTAAAGCACAAATTGATAACTGATCTTATTCCTACTCCTGCAATTATATAATCTTTTGCTAGCATAGTAATTCAAAGTGCACGTGAAAACAATGGATTGCCAAAAGCAACAGGATTACTAGAAGACAGCTTTCTATAATAGGAAACCTTATAGTATGTCCTCTTTTTACATTCAGATCCACACAACAGTATGTCTGTATGTGTGGTTTCCCAAACTTCTCCCTCCAGAAGCAGCACAGTGCAAGAGAGTGCTTTTCATTGTCAGGATGCAGGCTGTTCTATATGTTGGAAAGCACAGACGGGAGGGAATGCATCTCTTCATACCCTGGCATTCTGAGCCTCTTGTAGCTCTTGCATTCTTTGCATCCTCGCCTTATGATCCATCTCTTCAAATATTTTAACTTTCCTCAATACAGATTTCGGAGTATTTTCTTGTTCGCTTCCTTCCTCTTCCAACTTTGCCTCCTCCTCTTCCTCTGCAGGTGGGACTGCTGGCTGAGAGTTTCTCAGGATGGGACGCCCAAAGGCAGGTTTCACGGAAACAGGTGGTGGTGCTGCCTTAGCTGGCACAGTTGAAGTCTCACTGCTGACAGCAACGTTACTTGATTTGGAGTCATAGTTCTTGGGGATGTCATATAGATCCTCTTTGTTTTGTAATTTTCCCTGTAAATATAAAACACACAAACAAAGTTTACGTTAGCAACTTTTTAATTTTCATGTCAAATGAAGGCTTTAGTCTGAAATTAATCATTTTGCCTTTGTATTTAACAGTGTCAATCTTCATGTAAAGTACCACTTGAAAGGTATTTGACCTGCTGCAACATTTTGGCCATATGCTCATACACCACACATCAACCTGTAGAAGATTAGTACATTTAGACTTGTTGGTTCCATTTGCTAAGGATTACTAAAACTACACCATGTGTTAGGGGACAGCTCAGAGAAAACTGACCTCCCAAACGATTTGTCAGTGCTACCTAACGTAGAATATCACTACCAGGAGTTCGGAAGTGCACAGGACCTGCCTGTTCTCTAGTCCATCTTTATTTTCCTTACACACGTCCTGCTCTGCTCAATCTCCATTGTCAAGCCATACTTGCATATATTTTGAATACATGCTGTATGTGAGGACACCCATGCTCATCAAGAAAGGACTTTGATGTCAGGGGAAATCAGGAATAGTTAAAATAGAATTTGGTGTCCAAACATCATAATTTTCTTTCCCCTGCCTCATTCCTGAGGAAGGTTTGAATAAGGAGTTAACATCAATTTCTAGTGATGGAAATTTATTTCAGAGGTGGTAGATTCTGGTTCTGTGCTTCACAATAATGGCCATCAGATATGCTTTTCCTGATGACTAATGTACATTCACCCCTGCTGAGATAAAAAAGTGCCTTTTGATTTGCTGGCAGACACAAAAGGGAGTCTACTTTCTTATTCCATAGAGAGATCACACATACTTGAAGAAAACTGTTACCCAAGTTTTCTCTCTGCTTGATCCCACCACACCTTTGGTTATTCTTTCTCTCCACATTTACAATTTTTTCTAGCCTCTACTCATTCCTCCTGCTCTTCTTAATGTGCCACCCAGGAGAGTTCTCCAGAAAGAGGAACTTTGTATTCAGATTCATTTCTATGGGTTTACCTTAGGGGGTTCCGGCTTGAATGCTGGAGGTGGACTTGGTTCTCTAAGGATCTCCCTGCTCCCAGCTTTTCTCAACTGAGCCCTTGGTTCTGGACTATTTTTTTTTAAACTCTATGGGAGAAAATAAGAGATAAAAATCACTGAAGTGTCCAGTAATTCAACCATTTTTTCCTCTCAAGTTTACTAATTTGGGAACCGTAACTAGGAGTCAAATGACTGTCAGCAACCTGACCACAGTCACTGCAGATGTAATTGCAAAGTTCAAGGTCATGAGGTATCAGGAAACCTACAGAGTTAGGAGAAAAGCAGAGCTGTTATTTTTGCTCTACACAATGTAGCTCTAAAACACTATCAGATGTAAGACAGAGCTGCAGTTAAAAACCTCTGATTTTTAAGCCATACATGCATGGCTTTCAGAAAGTACAAAGTACAGTCTCGTTGAAAATCCAATCATCTCACCTCCTCATGATGCACAGGTTCAGAGGACCGGCTAACAGATGAAATCCTTGGTTCATCCAAGGGCTCATCAAGTTCATTGTCAGTGTATGCACCTCCTTCTCCATCTGTATCCTCCAGGTCACTGATCAGCCGACTGTCACAACTCAAATAGTCAGCACCCATTGCAGTAAGGTAAGACATACGATCATCTGCATCATCTTCCATGCTGTCCATCTAGAGAGAAGTCAGTAAGAATTAAGGAACAAATGTTAAATATATAAGAATTAGAGTCTAGCTAGGTCTCAACATCATGCCAACCAACTCCTTAAGAATGACTTTGCAGAACTGAAGGAAACTCTAATGCAGAATCATAAAGGCAAGTCCTGCAAAAGTTTATCCCTCCTCACCATTCTCCTCTAGCCACATCATTAGTGATGAAAGCTCCAAAGCAGAACAGAAAGAGCAATAACAAGTAATCTTTTGTTACCAAGAAAGACTGACGACTTGTCTAATCCACCCAGTATTGGCAAACAAAATTTTTAACAATTTTTACTGGAAATAGGTATCCTGAGACATCTGTATAGCTTAGTATAGTATGGATTGACTGCTTACCTTTCCTTCAGATACCCATACTGCTTCTCCTTGCTGTTGCTGAATTGTATCTTTCAGACTACCATACCAGCTATCATTGGCTGAATTCAAATTGATGGTGGCTGTAAAAATTTTAAGAAAAAAGTATATATACACAGCAAATGTAATGTGATCCTTTATCCAGTCTTTGTGGTTTAATACTTTTTCTTTTAGTTATGTGAGAATGTTAAACAGCCGTTTCGTTTAGATCACTGACAGAAGCATGGCATTTTTATTTTATTGTTTGTCCATTCCCCAAGCTTATTAAATCACTTATCTTTTAATGACAGTACGCTGATTCACTTTCTTTTGTATTAGGATTTGGCAGAACAAGGAACTTTGAAAAAACTCAAGGAAGGGATTGCTCATGACCTTACCTTCACACCCATTTAGCTCCAGCCTGCATATAGTAAGTGGATGTCTCAAGACTCACACAGTCACATCCACTACTATCTTGGTAAGCAGGCTAGACACACATTCTTCCTTACCTGTAAAGAGGTGGGAGCAAGTTTTCTTCAGTTTGTTTGCTTGCTCATAAAGTTTTCTCGAGCTTTTGTTAGACGTGGAACATAGCCTTTGTCTCATGGTTTTCACACCTTGCTTACTGTCTGGGTTAAAGAAGACCACAATTGGAAACCACTGGGTATAATTTAGCAGGTCCACTGCTTTAGGAGTCACATCCAACAGAGCATGTTTATCCTGTTAACAAAAAAGTCCAGTCAGTGTGCTGCTTGTGGGGAGGTGGTTGGAACATAGCATGCTAGGAAAAACAGGATATTTTTGTCCAAGTAAGACCACAACTGGTTGAATTTTTTTTTCCCCACAGTTATATCACATTCAGAAGCCACAGCAGGCAGCCCTTTTCTTTCAGCTCCAGTTTCTGAACAGCTTTTGCCTGAATGTCTGCATTCAATAAGTAAAATGCACTTATGACACTGTTTTGGGGTTTTTTTTTTAAATTAAATAGGATGTAAAAGTTAACTAGCTTTCCTCTCTACCTGCCCCTACCAGAGCTTCCACTAGCACAACTATTCTGGGTGCTATCTTTGAGCTTTTATCTACACTTACTAGCTGAGGCAAATCTCTCTTTTCCAGTTAATATATTCCTTCTTAGCTACTTCTAGTCAAACGTGAGTGGGATTTTCAAACATGTCCTTCAGTGGGGCCTGAGCTCTGAACAGACTTCGGTGCGACATTCTAACCCCTCTGGCATCAGTTTTATTTGGCTTATGGCAATAAGCTGTGGAGTACATTCTTTTTGCCTTTTTAGGCTTCTTGATTACTGTCTATTTACTTGATCTCTAAATAGTATTATAAAAAGTCTCAGTAGATGTCACTTAGCTATCATAGTCCCTTTCCATTCAGTTCAATAGCAGTAACTCTGAAGCAATCTAAAACATTAAGTTTCTGATGACAGTAAGAGCAAGTAGAGCACTGCATGACAGTAAAGCCTTCATAGCAAATTCAGAAAGCATGTAGTAAAACACAGATGCCCCTCACTTCAAATTTAGAATGGACTAAGGAAGGAGAATTTACTTTCTAATATTGGGTGGGTTCACCCTCTCACTTGGGAGGACAGCTATCAAAATTATAAAAATTATTGTTGAACAATTTCAGAATAGCCCTATCATTAAGCCAAGTCTGCTTATTGCAGAAATAGATGCAGTAAAGATTTGAGGACTTTGCAAGTTTTAGAAGCAAACAAATCAAACAACATGCCTTTGAGTATAAGCAATTTTCACAGAAGAAATACTCTACCTGCTCAATGATTTGCCTCACAGTGTTCAAGCGCACTACCCCAGTTGACTTCTCTGAACCTGCGTCTCTGGGTTCTGTCTCTGCAAAGACAACATTTTAGCTTATCTAGAGTGGCCTGGCAGCTGTGATTATTGTTACCCGTTCTCTCCATTAAGGATGATAAAGAAGGCAGGAGGACAACTTACTTGCTGTCTGGTACAGGTGAGGCAAATCGTTTGACAACTTCTCCATAGCAACATCTGCAATAGGGCCAAATATCACTACAGGTCTCTTAAAACCAGCTGAAAGAAAAATATTTGGAGAAAAGATAAGTCTGATAAAACTGGTTTTACATATAAGTGAAGTGGCGCAGACAAGATCCTCAATTACTATGCAAGGTTATGAATAAGCTGAAGATACTAAAAAATGTATTTTACAAAATTTTATTTCTCAAAAATTTGTGCAACAGCACAACTCATACAGAAAGCTGTTCTTATCAGCTGAGAAAGAAAAAGATTGTTTTAATTTAACAGCTTCCTTATTCCTTCTACCAAAGATGTATTGAGAGGATTCTACATCCTGAAAGTATACAGATCTTCAGTAGTCTTTCCATCCAGCAAAACAGCATGAACCTTGACGCAGTGGGTTTTGTATGAATAAAGATACAAATGCTAAAAGAGCTGTAAGGCAGCTTGAAGAAGCAAAGAAATGCAAAACTATGTTATGTCAAAACAAGTGCAAACACAGTTCCCCTAAGTTAATGGGGGAATGCCATTCTCTTGCTCAGTCTTCATCTTGACATGTGGGAGCTCCTTTAAAACGCTTGCTACTATTTGTTTTGTTCCACAATACTGTCATATGCAAATACCTAGAAAGTTATCTTGGCTTGCTCAAGACTAGTAATCTAGCTAGTTTAGACTCACAGAGATGGATCACATTAACCTTGATTACATTTGGACAATCTGTTCAAAATACTTGGATTTGCTCCCAGAGTAACGTTAAAGTGGTATTTAAGAAGAAGCTACATTGTGATGGATCTCAGGCATATGGACTGTACTTTCAGAGCCAAGGGAAAGCTGAGGAAACAAGAAAACCCTGCTTGTTTGATTTTTTAAATTGGCATGTGTAACTTGAAGGCAAAGGAGATCAGCAGCAGTTTGGAAACAAAAAGCTTTTTTCTTAAGAGTAGTTAATAGCATCCAGAAATTTGCATTCTGAGAAGAATGTCATCCCTTCCTCTTGCTCAAACTTAACATCGAACTCAAGTTGTTCAAAATCCCTTACTTAGTTGACCCAATATTTGGACACTAAACCAGCCAGTAATAAATGGGCAGCTGGCTCACAGCAGTCTCACTTACCCTCACGCAACTGAACTCGCTCATAAGCTGGGAATTTTGTGCTCACAGATACAATAGCTGTCAGATCTTCACGACTCTTCCTCAGGTTCTTCTTCACTCCAGATCGCTGGCCACGCGTTCTCCAGAAGTCTGCCCTATCATTTGAGCCATCTTTTTGGGCATTTTGAACACTGGCCATCTGCTCAGCTCTGACAAGAGAAAGCACAGAGTTCATTTGTACAGAACTAGCCAAAGAGGGCAAAGGTGCTTTCACTGAAGAAAAACGGATTTTCAATTTACCACAGGTAATTTGCCAGAGGGACAGCCATGAGTGGAGGAAATAGAGAAGTGCAGGCTCTTTGGTCTTGGAAGAAACAGTGTCAGAATGATGCTCCAACTCACCCCAGCTACAAGATTGCTGGGCAAGAATGAGTCCTCATGTCTTAAGCTGCTAACTCACACATGCATAAATAAAATAATGCAACTGCAAAGAAGTGGTGAGAGAGTGTAACTCAGAACTGAAGGCCTAAGAAATTACTGTCACTATTCTCTTCTCCATTAGGTCTTCTAAGTTAAGTCACTATAGCATAGAAACAAAGGCTGCTTTGGTCAGATCAATTACCAGAGAGGACAGAACATACTCACCTGGAAAGAGGCAGTGGAGTCACATAAGAAGCATATTTCAGGAACTTCTGTACAATGCAATTGTGAGCTTTTTTCCCTCCATCTTCAAATCACAACCATGCTCAAGAATTTAAAGGCTACAGTCTAAAAATACCCTGATTTTTTTGCTGATGAATTGTAATACTTTTACTCATTGTGCATATTTGAACACTTATTACATAAGTTTTGGAGAGGAAAGCATATTTAAGCAAAAAACATTGCTGAGGTTCACTTGTATTTCACACAAAAATAAGGACTACAGCTACCAGGAAATACTAGCCTCAGAATGCATTCTTGAAACATTTTCCAGAAGGCAAATTCAGGCACTAAAGTTCTTTTAAAAGATTAATCATCAGAAGATTATTGCACACACAGACATGAGCTGCCTAAAGTGTAGGGGGTTTTGGTTGGGGTTTTTTTTGGTTGGTTGGTTGGTTGGATTTGATTTGGTTGGGATAGGATAGGGGGTGGAAAAGAAGGGGGGATAAAAGGCAAAAAAAGTAAAAATAGTACCCTCCACGCATTTTCTAGAAGAAGAACTGAAGCAGCTAGTGGTCCAAGCTTGGTTGATTGCTGAGACAGGAGCTCTATGTCTGTGTTGTAAATACCTGATCTAGTATGCAGGTAACACCATCCTCTCTTCACATAATGCCATGGTTCTAAAATTTGGCTTTTTTCCACAAGATTTGTGCCTGTGAAACAGGCACAATTGTTGTGAAAGTAAAGACAAAACATTTATTCCTTCTTCTAACGTGGGGAGGAAAGAAAAGTATGACACAGGAAGCAAATTCAGTTGGAAAAGAAAATCTTACTTTTAACAATGGGTAGGAAGACAGGATGCCACCTTACCTGCTCTTATTTGGAATGAGGCCCTTTTCCAGTTCATTTCCAATTCTCACAGCCAGCCAGTTTCCCAGTTTGCCATCATACAGTGTATCAACCACTCTAAAGATCTCCCCTCTGGTGAATGCTAAGCTCTGTGGTGACTCTTTTTCACACTCAAAGTGGCTTCTGATGAAGAATGAATCTCCTCTGCCACAGGCCATGATGTCTCTGTAGACTAAAACAGGAACTCCCTTTTAGTTTATATTTTTATCCTTGAAAGAAAGATTAAGCTTTCATCCTAGAAAATAGTTTTGAATTCTTTCCCTCTACTCAAGAAGATGCAAAAAAACCAGCCTTCACATCCATTGCCCTACATGCACATTATCAAGAGTGTTCTATGCTTGTACACGTATAGCCCTTAACAGTTCTGAGGGAAGCAGGTACTTGCACCTTCCCAAAGCAAAAGACAGCTATGGTGCTTCAATATTACAGCAGGCTGTGTCCCCAACAGGAAAACAAGAGGCTTCGCTTGCTCCTTAACTGTTCATCAATAAAACCGCCCATTTGCTGCTATCTGACTGAATCCCTTATGATTGCCAAGGCACAGCAGAAAAGGAATGCTAACAGCAGATCTTGGCCCAGCTGCTACAAACAGAAAACCAGAAGGAACAAGCAGTACATTGCCACTCTTCAGGATTAAGAGGAGATGCTGTTTGCTAATAATTAAAGAAATGGAGAAACACATCACACATGCATATCTGTATGACCCCTGTGGTATGGTATACAGCTATCTTCTGAGCTGCTGAAAAGGAGGGAAATCTAAATGCTATCAAGAATAAGCACAAGAGAGATTATTTGTGGCTTCACTGACAAAACAGAGCATAAACGCTTCGTGGATATACACACATTCTGTTCAAAGCACCTACCTTCGTACTTGCTTTGAGCCAAAATTGTTACTGTTTCACCTTTGGGAATTTCCAAGAGATATAAAACAGCATCTTCCCGAACAATGCCTCTGAAGTCTTGAGTGTTTACCTATGTACCAAAAAAGACCCAAAAAAACCCCAAACCTGAAAAATCATCACTAAAAGGAATAAACAGAGATTTTTGTTTCATGTAAAATATCTTAAATATTCTTTTCCTTTACTATACTTTTATTTTTTAAAGTCCATATGCATATCTGTTGCAATAAGGAATAATTTATTCCCAACATTAACAGTAATCTTGCTGAAATAACAAGGTCCTGGATGTGCACTGCTAGATTGTTTCTTCTACTTTTAACAGGTTCCAAAAGGCCTTGAAAATCAAGGCTGCCACAAGAGAAAACAGGCAGAAAATAAAATTACATTAGACTCCTACTGGAATTTTCAGGGGGGAAAAAAAAAAAAAAAAAGAGAGAATGTAAGAGGACAAAATGGCATAGATTATATAATTCAGAAACTGGAAAAATAAATCACAGTTACCCAAGGAAACTGAAGAAAGATGAAAGAAGAAAAATACACTGGCCTAAATTTTTTCCCCACTCCAAGACCAGGAAGAAGCATTGTACAGAAAATTTATTCTCCTATCTTGGGCCATTTTTTAAAATTAATATTTCTCCTACCTACCCCTTAGAGAGAATCTTAAACAAGCTAAAGCTTGATACACAATTCTCCTTCGAAAACTTATTTCAGTAAGATTCCTCCACCACATATGTGGACATACACACTTCCAAAGCAATAACTTAAATTTCCTAAAATCATAATTTCTTACATATTTCCAAAGCAAACCAAAAAATACAAAAGTGATTTGCAATTCAGGGACACATACTTACACTCATACCTTAAGAATCTGATCTCCTTCCTGCAGTCCCTCCTGATCAGCTGAAGTGCCTTCTTGAATTCCAGCAATAAATATCCCTACATCATTTCCACCAGCCAGTCGTAAACCCACGCTGTCCCCTTTCTTGAATCTCACCATTTTTGTATTAGGACTACAAGATTCACAGGCAGAAAAAGGAAGTAAGGCCAGATGTTCAGCGTATGACAATAAAAGAGAAAAATATTGCAACTCTTTCAACAAAATCGTACTAATAATATTCTTAGCCCCCTTCTTGCACCATATAGGCTAGATTTACCCAGGTAACACTTCAGTGAGGGAAGGAAGTAGAAAATCGCATTTTTCAGAGTGGAAACTGAACTACAAAGAACAACTAAGTGGCATACACAGACCTGACAGAGCAGGAAAACAACCCTCTGCTCTTCAAGACCCAAAATAATTCCCTACCTATTGGATCCTCTCTCAGATGAGCCGCTGGGTTTTTTGTGAGAACAGTCTAAGTTATAAGGAATCATACTCATTGGTTTTTCCTCTATACGCTTGAGAACTGTTATATTAATTAGCTTTATACCCATTTCTTTTGCAGTTTAACATGTTCGTTAGGCAGAAGTCTCCAAGCATTCTTGTGAGAAATATTTCTAAGTATACTCTACTGGTATGTTAACAAACAGTCCTTTCATATTGCAGTGGGAGAGACTACTGGACTAGGTTCAGATGTTTTGCTGTAAGAAAAGCACTATGCCTGAGTGACCTTCCAACACAGAGGACAGTACTTATCTGTCAGCCTTTCTCAGTAATACCCTAAGCCTGTATTATAAATTCCCCTTCACCAAAATAATCACTTGATTAATTTGCACGTCAATGACAAAATATGCAGGGTCCAACCCAGAAAAGATGTGAGAAGAGAATCCATTTGAGAATATACACCAAGGTACAGAAAATCTTCAAAATCTTATCTTTAAGCTTCTTACAGTCTCAGTGCTCTGCTCCCTTCAATTTCTGTGTTTGGAAACTCTCATAAGAAAACATGTAAATTGATCTCCTGTTAATACTGTTTGCAACTTTTAGTATCTTTATTGTTAAATAATCAACAGTACCACGTTCCCTTTGATCACTCACAAAAAATCATCAAAAAAACCCCCACAAAACAAACTTTGGAAGCAATGGTTTGTTCATTTCTAAGCAGAGACTAGGACTGCAATATGGACTTCCCAGGCTTGGTTTTAAAGAAAAGACACAAATTTCTGTACAGAAACACACATATATTTGGCCTTGTCTGCAACAAGCTTGTTTACAAATTAAATAGAGGATGTTATCTTTGTATCTCAATATTGTAGGGAAGAGGAGGGTTGTCTTTTGTGTACATATGAAAAAACAGAAGAGATGTAAAATACATTTCCATAGAATTGCACAGGTTAGAATGGCCCTTCGCTCAAAGCGGGCTGTTCAGGGCCTTGACCAGTTATGTTTTTGAGTATCTTGGTGGTGGAGATACCACAACCTACAAGGGAAAACTGTTCAATTGATTAACCACCCTCAAAATAAAAAGTTTTCTTCTTTATATCAAGTCAGAATTTCCTACATTCCAGCTTAGTGTCCCTTGCTTTTTGTCCTACTACTGTACGCCTCTGAGAAGAGTATGGCCCTACCCATTACGTCATTGCAGACAGCAGTAAGATATTCCTTCTGTCCTCTCTTCTCCAGGCTTAACAAATCCAGTTTTATTGGTCTTTTCTCCTATGTCATATACTGACCCCTTAGATTTGCTCCAGAGTGTCAAAGTCTTGTCCTGGGGAGCCCCAGAATGGACATAGTACTCCAAATACTATCTCAAAGTGCCAAATAGAGCAGAATAAAAATAAAGAAGTATACCATTGTGTACATTCCCATGCAAGCCCAGAAGCACAAGGTGTTCTATACCTTTCAGGTAGAAGGCAAATCTATATTTTTCAGGTAGATACTTCTAAAATTAAGTTTAACTCAAATATGGTTAGTTAGAAGCCATGTCATCTCTTCTTGGCATTAAGCTAGGGAGTATCACTCCAAATGGGAAAAAAAACCTGAAACCCATGCAACCAAGAACCATGTACAGGTCACTGGAAGAACACCGAGTGCGAAAGAACATGGAAGTGCCGCCTTACCCATATATTGCTTCATCTTCAGGGCTGGGTTTAAGAAGCGTTCTTGTAACTGCTTTTGGTTGAGACACTGTGTGTAGAAAAGCCAATAGAAGTTACTGAGCTATTAAAAAAAAGTTACAAATGGCAGCAATTTTTAGCTATTAGATATCTATCAAACTCATCCATGCCAAACATTAATACAGGTTTACATGTCAAGCATCTCTTTGAGTAGAATTGATCTACTTCCCCTTTTTTTTAAACTGTTGAAAAAGAACAAAAAGGTCAAGGGAGGGATACAGAGCAGACTGCAGGAATAGCTTCCTTTGGCTGCTTAGGGCAATAGGCTACAGTAGATGCTCTAGGAGAGTACTTGCTTTTTGAGGTGGTAATTATAATAAGCAACTGCCTTCAAATAATCTCAGATTTTCTTCTGTCTCTGCACCACAAAGCAAGCACAGACCTGTCTGTGTGTCAGGATGGGGTTGACATGAAGAATATACTAGATATATCAAGATGATTGGAGAAGAAAACATTCTGTAGCCACGGAAAAAAAAGGAACCAAAAACTTGAAACTTGGACCTGCTGGGTCATCTTGGTATTTCAGTTCTTTGTTTGTTTCTGCAACCGTAACAGCAGGAGTAGCAATGTCACCAGTTGATTTGAACAGTGTAGGCACTGCTCCCATCCTGGGCATCCTACCAGATGGATCATCTTTTGCACTAAAAGAAAGAAAAAGAAATAAACTGTAGTGAAATCAGATAAGAATCCCATGTATTTTAAGAATTTCTTTGACAAGCATTAGAAAAAAGGACTAGAGAAGACCATTTCTTACTTCGGTTTCTCTTTCAGCTTTTCATTGGATGAATGTGAATCTAGATCAGAATGATGTAATCTGTCATCTTGAGGGGAGACTGATCTGTTCGACTCTATTTCAGAAATGTCTGTAAAGAGAGCAGCAAATCAAGAAATGCGGGTTTTGTTTAATTTATCTGCACATCTGATCACCGCATTTATTTATAAAGCTTTTACATATGAGATACACTAAACCTTCAAGCCTACTCCTGTTCCAAATTGGGTCTGACTAGGGTTCAAAAAGTGCTGTATGCCTTTTAGTGCTTTCATGTCCCCATGCCCCAGAAAATATTTCAGGAAAGTTTCACTCAGTCTTTAGGAAACACACATTACACAACTACTTTTGAGAATAGCATAGACTCATTAACTAGTGTTAGCAGCCTTTTATTTGAGGTCTCATGGAGGTTCCCAAACAGAAGACCACCTTCACATTAACAATCCTCACATCATTGCTTCTCAGTGACAAAAAAAAAAAAAAAAAAAAAAAAAAAAGATAGCCCTCAGACTTGAACCATATCTCAGTCCTCACAGCAAAACCTACAAAAGGTTGCACCCAGAATTCTGACATCGGAGAAGCAAGTATCTTGCACTAAATAATGTAACATCCCGCTCCCCTAAACATCCTGAGCCCTTCTCAAAGTAAGATTATGTTGAGCTCATACACTGCAAGAGATCATTTGTACAGAACAGATACTCGAAATATAAACCAGTTGTACAGAAGGATTTAATTTCCCCTTGCCCTGACACTTTTTCCCTCCTGTTGAATGCTGTCATGAATATTAATGCCCTCAGGAAAGACCAGTCCAATCCACTTTTAAAACTGAAGCCTTTTATTAAAGCAACTAACTTGCTTGCTCTGAGAAGTAAGATTGATTTTGCCAGATCAACATTGCTTCTTCTACCTCTGCCCCTGTCTAAAATGTAATTATATGATTTCTACAAAATTCTTCTTTCACCAAAAGGAAGTGGGCTTGATGCTTACTTGGCTGTTACTAAGGTTTGTTTGTGGGGTTTTCTTGTTTGTTTTTTGGGGGGGGGTTGTTTTTAATTTTTTTTAGAGAACCTAGTACTACTCTACCACAGCAAAACACTATAAAATGCATTCTGTCCCTGCAGAGAGTCCAGAACTTTTTATCCACAGTAAATCTCACCATCCATTTCTGAGTCACTGTCGTTCAGTGAAGGAATGTTGAGCAGTGTCTGCTTTCTGTCCCTGAGGACAACCAGCTGGAGCTTCCCCCGTGATTTCTCAATCAATTTTCGGGCATCAGCTAAAGACATGTTCTCTGTCACTGTACCATTGATCTGGACATAAAAAGGCAACGATAACACTACAAGTAAACAAACAAATCCATATTGTGCTCAAGTTTAATAGTAAACTTAACTATAACATGATGTACTCCAGAGTAAGTCCTATGACAAGTGCCTGCTAAACTGCTAGCAGTATAACCAGAACATACCTTGAGAATTATATCCCCTTCATGAAGGTTGCCATCTTTGGTTGCTAGGCCAGTACAGGTCATTTCTTTTATGAAGATCTGACTTCCAAGCCGAAGACCATATTCTGGAATCAGAGAAACAATCCACTGTAGTTTAGAAAATGAGCGAGGATGAATTTTTTAAAAAACTACACAGTGTACATGCAGCACATCTCATTGCACTATGAGAAAATAAAAAAAAAAAATGCAGACCTAGTAAACCCACTTAACCCCGAGCTAACTCCCCTATTTCTGTGCTGTCACCACAGTAAGAAGAAACAGCAGTCCAAAACCAGTAACAGATGGTTTAGTGCGCACCTTCCCCATCAAAACAATGCCTGCATTTTGGGATCTTACTAACAATACTGGACTAGATTCTCTTGCTGTATCATATTTTGCGTGGCATAGAAAGGGAGAGAAAAGGGTCCAAAAGCCCTAACAGAAGAGCTGGGTTTTCTTACCAGTTGTTCCATGCTGCCCCTGTCCTATCTGTACCCCAGTAAATATACGTGTCTTGGTTGTTTCAGGCAAAGGATTTCTTTTCCTCCCCTCTCCTGCCCCCTGCTTTCTTCCCTTTGATACAAGTTACTTGTGTTAGTGTATTTGCTACTTTAAAAAAAAGGCAACACTCATAAAGCATGCACATCCTAGAACAACAGAAAAGGAAATAAACAGTTATCTGCTTTAAAAAGTCACCACATTTGAAGAAATCTGCAGAGTATCCATGTGAATGGCAGAAATTATTACAGAATTACTGCCTACATATAAAGACAAAGACACATTAAATTTCTCCTTATTTGTATACCTATCTGCATTATCTTTACAAGTGGAAACATTATATGCAGGGGAAGAAGAGGAAGGAGGGAAAGGAATCCTTGCTAGAGACAATGAAAAAAGAGGTTAGCTCCTGCATACAAAGCTTACATGAGCAGAAACTTCTCAGAAACACAACAGGACAGATCAGAAGAAACAAACAAACAAACCCAAAACACACCCTCAAAACTCCCTCAAACAAACCACCACACCTCCCAGCAAAAACCCAATCAGAAAAGAATGCACAACCTCATCTCAGATATGCTTTGTAGCACAAAAGTCTGTACTTCACAGCACATGAAAGATCAAGCTTCCAACTTTCATTTACACACTCTAATCTCAGCAAGGAAAGGCTGTTTCAGCTGTTGCTATTTCAGTATTCTTAAACTACATTCTGCAGTATCCAGAATGAAACAATCCTTGGAACTAATGTAATTATACTGAAGAGAGGAAGTAAGTGCCCTATTAAAGGCACTGTCTTACCTTGTGCATGCTCTCCTCCTACTGAAAGGATTTTTAACATTCAAAGTCTACTCTTGTAGACTGACCCTTTTATAGATGTGCCAAGTGTAATCTGAATCATGATCAGATCCATGTTTCCCACCAGAACCAGAAGAATAGGGCAGAGAAAATGGAAAATCAAAGGACACAGTGGCTTGAAAAGACTGAAACTATGTGGGTGAACAGTTCTTTGTTCAAAAGTGAAGCTCAAGGTGCTGGGGGAAAAAGCACCCCAAACCAGCCAGGAAGAAGGAAAGAACAACTTAAGTGATCAGTTAGAAAACTCAACATTTAACCTGTAAAAGCAGAGAATATTCAGCTCCTCTCCCTCCCCCATCAAAATAACATGCTGTATTAAAAGTCGGTTCCTCTCCTCCCCTACTATACCAACCTTCATTATGTCTGCCTT